GAAGAGGCAGATGGGTTTTTCTGTGCAGCCTGTGTGCAGTGGGGCAGAATCCCCCGGGGCCCTGGCTGTGGGAGCCGGGCTGGGAGCATTGCCCAGCCTCTCGGCCAGTTAAGGAACTGAGCTCAGCAGAGGCTTTGGCTGGGAGACGGGGCAGGGTGAAGCCTGGGTGCTTGCTGAGTGGCTTATGTCTCCTGCCCAGGCTGGTTTCCATGTCCCCTGTAACCACCCCCCTTCCTTCTGTCAGTTACAGTGAGATGCTGGCGTTCACCCTGACTGCCTTCCTGGAGCTCATGGACCATGGCATCGTCTCCTGGGACATGGTCTCAGTGACCTTCATCAAGCAGGTGTGGCCCAAGGAGAAGTGGGAGGGAGCTGTGTGGGTGTGGAAGGGGAATCGTGTGGTCTGCTTCATGTACGACGTGGGGGAGGGGAGAATGGTGCAGGTGCGCCATGGGGGGCCTGAGGACATGATATTGTGGGGGAATGGGCAGAGTGTGGCATGGGGCGAGGGGGGGTGTATGGCGAGTCGGGGACACCCCAGTCCTGCACCCCCGGAGCAGCCAGAACAGTCTCCACCAGCCGCAGAGCAGAGAAGGGTTGATTGATTTTCCAGAACACAGCCCAGCACAGACGTGATGTGGCAACAGGAGGGGGGCTAGGATGCCCCAGACCCATTAAGGCGGGTGCCTGAGGCCCTAGTCTCCAGGCCCCCCCCAGGCTGTCTCCATCATGTTTCCAGCCCCAGACTCCCTCCTCCTCCCCTCACGTACTTCCTTTGTTCCCACCTCCTTCCCTCCCCCCAGTCAGGACCGTTCAGGGCAGTGTCTGGCCCCCCCGCTGGGCCGTGCTCAGGGGACAGCCCAAGCCTAGCGCCCAGCAAGATGCCCCCCACATCGCAGGGGACATGATGTGGAAGAACGCCTTGGCGCAGAGCAGTGGAGTAGAGCACACGGTGTGCACACATGGTGCAGGCACGCGTGGAAGCAGGGGCGGCTGATAATTTTGCAGGGCCCAGGGCTGCGCCGCGGGGCCCGGGGAGGCACAATTTTGCGCAAGCGCCAACCAGAAGTAGCGTTTCGCGCATTTTGGAGTGGTCGCAGGCTGCCCCAAAAGGGGAGGGGCTTTGGGTGGAAGGGGGCTGTTCCCTCTAGTTACAGCCAGCCCTTGGTGTGGGGAGCAGACTTTGCGTGCTCCCTTGCCCCCAGGCCCTGGAGGTGGGGAAGCGTGCAAAGTCTCTCACTTGCCTGTGCCCTGCCACGGCTGCACGACACCCAGACAGAACCAACGCCTGGCGGTTCCCTTGTGCCGTGAGCCCAGGCAGTGGGAGGAGACTTTGCACGTTACCCCTGCCGATCAGGGTCTGAGTGGCCCAGGGGAGGGGGAGCGGCAGGGCAGGCCAGATGTGGCCCGTGGACCCTGAGCTCGTACGTCTCCCGCAATCCCAAAGTGCTCCTGAGCTTTCTTAGGTGCCCACGTCTCTAGCTTCTAGGCTGTAGTTCTAGGTTCCTCACACATGCTGCGGACGAAGACCATGGGGTGTCAGAGTCTCTTATCTCTGTGTGGCCGGTGCAGTGCGAGGCAGCCTTTGCTAAAGAACTTACAGACCATCTTACTCCATAACAGCAGGAGATGCCCAGGCCATGGCCCATCACTTGGGATAGTGTCCCTCTCGCAGCAGCTGTCCCCACTGGGGTGGGCACAGGTCATGCCCCATGCTGAGTGGGGTTTCTCCTGGGCTGATGCAGCTTTCAGGGACAATGTGACTTTTGCAGTGGTGGTGCTGGGTTTGGTGGTGGCTGGAGGCTGGTGCCGTGGTGCGGGGTTCGGCGGTGGCTGGAGGCTAGTGCCGTGGTGCTGGGTTCAGCGGTGGCTGGAGGCTGGTGCCGTGGTGCGGGGTTCGGCGGTGGCTGGAGGCTAGTGCCGTGGTGCTGGGTTCAGCGGTGGCTGGAGGCTGGTGCCGTGGTGCGGGGTTCGGCGGTGGCTGGAGGCTAGTGCCGTGGTGCTGGGTTCAGCGGTGGCTGGAGGCTGGTGCCGTGGTGCGGGGTTCGGCGGTGGCTGGAGGCTAGTGCCGTGGTGCTGGGTTCAGCGGTGGCTGGAGGCTGGTGCCGTGGTGCGGGGTTCGGCGGTGGCTGGAGGCTAGTGCCGTGGTGCTGGGTTCAGCGGTGGCTGGAGGCTGGTGCCGTGGTGCGGGGTTCGGCGGTGGCTGGAGGCTAGTGCCGTGGTGCTGGGTTCAGCGGTGGCTGGAGGCTGGTGCCGTGGTGCGGGGTTCGGCGGTGGCTGGAGGCTAGTGCCGTGGTGCTGGGTTCAGCGGTGGCTGGAGGCTGGTGCCGTGGTGCGGGGTTCGGCGGTGGCTGGAGGCTAGTGCCGTGGTGCTGGGTTCAGCGGTGGCTGGAGGCTGGTGCCGTGGTGCGGGGTTCGGCGGTGGCTGGAGGCTAGTGCCGTGGTGCTGGGTTCAGCGGTGGCTGGAGGCTGGTGCCGTGGTGCGGGGTTCGGCGGTGGCTGGAGGCTAGTGCCGTGGTGCTGGGTTCAGCGGTGGCTGGAGGCTGGTGCCGTGGTGCGGGGTTCGGCGGTGGCTGGAGGCTAGTGCCGTGGTGCTGGGTTCAGCGGTGGCTGGAGGCTGGTGCCGTGGTGCGGGGTTCGGCGGTGGCTGGAGGCTAGTGCCGTGGTGCTGGGTTCAGCGGTGGCTGGAGGCTGGTGCCGTGGTGCGGGGTTCGGCGGTGGCTGGAGGCTAGTGCCGTGGTGCTGGGTTCAGCGGTGGCTGGAGGCTGGTGCCGTGGTGCTGGGTTCGGCGGTGGCTGGAGGCTGGGGCCGTGGGGCTGGGGTCAGTGGTGGCTGGGGGGTAAGGCCGGGGGGCTGGGTTCGGCGGTAGCTGGAGGCTGGTGCCGTAGTGCTGGGTTCGGCGGCGGCTGGAGGCTGGGGCCGTGGGGCTGGGGTCAGTGGTGGCTGGGGGGTAAGGCCGGGGGGCTGGGTTCGGCGGTAGCTGGAGGCTGGTGCCGTAGTGCTGGGTTCGGCGGCGGCTGGAGGCTGGGGCCGTGGGGCTGGGGTCAGTGGTGGCTGGGGGGTAAGGCCGGGGGGCTGGGTTCGGCGGTAGCTGGAGGCTGGTGCCGTAGTGCTGGGTTCGGCGGCGGCTGGAGGCTGGGGCCGTGGGGCTGGGGTCAGTGGTGGCTGGGGGGTAAGGCCGGGGGGCTGGGTTCGGCGGTAGCTGGAGGCTGGTGCCGTAGTGCTGGGTTCGGCGGCGGCTGGAGGCTGGGGCCGTGGGGCTGGGGTCAGTGGTGGCTGGGGGGTAAGGCCGGGGGGCTGGGTTCGGCGGTAGCTGGAGGCTGGTGCCGTAGTGCTGGGTTCGGCGGCGGCTGGAGGCTGGGGCCGTGGGGCTGGGGTCAGTGGTGGCTGGGGGGTAAGGCCGGGGGGCTGGGTTCGGCGGTAGCTGGAGGCTGGTGCCGTAGTGCTGGGTTCGGCGGCGGCTGGAGGCTGGGGCCGTGGGGCTGGGGTCAGTGGTGGCTGGGGGGTAAGGCCGGGGGGCTGGGTTCGGCGGTAGCTGGAGGCTGGTGCCGTAGTGCTGGGTTCGGCGGCGGCTGGAGGCTGGGGCCGTGGGGCTGGGGTCAGTGGTGGCTGGGGGGTAAGGCCGGGGGGCTGGGTTCGGCGGTAGCTGGAGGCTGGTGCCGTAGTGCTGGGTTCGGCGGCGGCTGGAGGCTGGGGCCGTGGGGCTGGGGTCAGTGGTGGCTGGGGGGTAAGGCCGGGGGGCTGGGTTCGGCGGTAGCTGGAGGCTGGTGCCGTAGTGCTGGGTTCGGCGGCGGCTGGAGGCTGGGGCCGTGGGGCTGGGGTCAGTGGTGGCTGGGGGGTAAGGCCGGGGGGCTGGGTTCGGCGGTAGCTGGAGGCTGGTGCCGTAGTGCTGGGTTCGGCGGCGGCTGGAGGCTGGGGCCGTGGGGCTGGGGTCAGTGGTGGCTGGGGGGTAAGGCCGGGGGGCTGGGTTCGGCGGTAGCTGGAGGCTGGTGCCGTAGTGCTGGGTTCGGCGGCGGCTGGAGGCTGGGGCCGTGGGGCTGGGGTCAGTGGTGGCTGGGGGGTAAGGCCGGGGGGCTGGGTTCGGCGGTAGCTGGAGGCTGGTGCCGTAGTGCTGGGTTCGGCGGCGGCTGGAGGCTGGGGCCGTGGGGCTGGGGTCAGTGGTGGCTGGGGGGTAAGGCCGGGGGGCTGGGTTCGGCGGTAGCTGGAGGCTGGTGCCGTAGTGCTGGGTTCGGCGGCGGCTGGAGGCTGGGGCCGTGGGGCTGGGGTCAGTGGTGGCTGGGGGGTAAGGCCGGGGGGCTGGGTTCGGCGGTAGCTGGAGGCTGGTGCCGTAGTGCTGGGTTCGGCGGCGGCTGGAGGCTGGGGCCGTGGGGCTGGGGTCAGTGGTGGCTGGGGGGTAAGGCCGGGGGGCTGGGTTCGGCGGTAGCTGGAGGCTGGTGCCGTAGTGCTGGGTTCGGCGGCGGCTGGAGGCTGGGGCCGTGGGGCTGGGGTCAGTGGTGGCTGGGGGGTAAGGCCGGGGGGCTGGGTTCGGCGGTAGCTGGAGGCTGGTGCCGTAGTGCTGGGTTCGGCGGCGGCTGGAGGCTGGGGCCGTGGTGCTGGGTTTCTTTCGGAGCGCGATGCCATTGCTACATTTCATTCTGGTGTTCTGAACCCTGTCTCCTCTGCCTGCATCAAAGCCCTTTTGTCTGCGATTTATCCAATAGCCTCTGTGGTGGACGTGTGCTGAGTGCTGGTGTCTCTGGGTTTAGATTGCAGGGTACGTGAGTCAGCCCATGGTGGACGTGTCTATTCTTCAGCGGTCTCTGGCCATCCTGGAGAGCATGGTGCTGAACAGCCAGACTCTGTACCAGAAGATAGCGGACGAGATCACTGTGGGGCAGCTCATCTCTCACCTCCAGGTGTGAGTATCCACCCACCCAAGGTAGAACGGTCCAAAGCTGAACTGCGATTTGTAAAACATTTTTAGATTCAATTAAAATCCATATCGATGCTGTGTCAAAGGTCACAGCTGGCGGGGCATCTTATCACAAATCCACTGAAGGCAAAGAACAAGACATGGGAAACTGACGGCAGCAATCCCAGGAATCCTTGAGGTCATGAAGAATTTTACTTGTGTAAATAGCCTCCCTGATCTCAGTGGGATTAATCCAGTGCTTAATACGCAGTGCAGAAGTGCTTGCAGGACCGGGGCCTAAAATTGTTTTGTTGGTCAAAACTTTTCTCTTAGAAATCCAGATGGCACAAGATCTTTGGCACTGTCAACAAATGATTTCATTGTTACAGTTAAAAAGTTGTTCAGCATTTCAGTGCATTAACAAAGTTACAGCTTGTGAACTCCTCTTCAGTCTCACAGTATTGATATTAACATGACTAATTCACAGTGCAACGTAATCATTACAATTCATGATCAAAAATCACAAGCCAGTTACCAAGGTGTCCTAGTATTTGCATTCCCTGCGGATGCCGCCTTTGCTTTCAGAAGTGAAATACTTGAGAAGGGCAACCAACCCATCCCTGGTCCCCTCCCTTGTTTGTATTTGGCAGCTGCAAGGTGGTTGTTGCAAAATAGTTTCATCCCATGAAGCCCAGTCCTGCAAGTGAGTCAACATGAGCAAAGCACCATGGGAGTCAGTGGGGACCCGTGGACGTGCTAGGGTCCAGAGCTGGGACCCCTGCTGCTAATGTCTTCGGCACCTTCCCAGACTTTGGAGGGTAATTTTAGAGCTTTTCTTCCCCAGCTCTGTGCTGGCTACCGTAGATGATCCTTGGGCATCATCTCCTCTTCTACCTCCAACTGTGTCATTAGTGAATAGTCAAATACTCTCCGGCATGTGAATGTCTGGAGCAGCTGTCACAGGGCTCACAAGGAAGCAACAGCAGTGACTACAGCAAACACAGCGGACTCACTGTGCGCATTACAACTAGCGCTGTGGTGGGCTACCTGCAGGCTGCATGCAGCCCACTGGGGTTCTACGTGTGGCCGTGAGACTTTTTGTTTACTGTTGTCCAGGCAAGGTGCTGAGCGGAAACTGATTTTGCCGTTCTGAGAAATGGAAAAGTGTAAAAGTGTGTGAACTCCAAAGAGGTGGATTTGAAGTGGAGGCATGAAAGTGAGAAATGGTCACAAGGAGAATAAAGCTAAAGCACTTGGTGGTGCTTACGGCTCTGTCTACTCTGCAGCCCGCCAGTGGCACGTCTACCACTGCAGCTGTAGTCCCTCTCTGCAGAGGAGAGAGAACGCTCCTGCCAGCACAGTAAAACCATCCCCAAGGAGCTCTTTGGCTGTGGGAAACCCTCTCCCCCCAACCTAGCCCTGTGCACGTGGACCTTGCGCCAGTGTAACGTCTGTCAGTCAGAGCGGGGGAGGTTTCCCCACATCTCTGCCCCACAAAAGTGCCAAGGGGTGTCTACACTGCAGCCCTCTTTCGAGAGGAATGCAAATGCAGCTGAGTGAAATTGCAAATGAAGCGTGGATTTGAATTTCCCGTGCTTCATTTGCATAATGGCGTCCGGGCGCTATTTCGAAAAAAGAAACGCTGTCTAGACACGGCTATTTTGAAAGAAAACCCCTTTTGAAATTACCCTCAGCCCTCACTTTATAAGGAGTAAGGGGAATTTCGATAGAAGGGTTTTCTTTCGATAGAACCGCGTCTAGACAGCGTTTCTTTTCTCGAAATAGGGTATTTCGAAATAGCGCCCGGACGCAACTATTCAAATGAAGCATGGGAAATTCAGATCCGCGCTTCATTTGCAATGTTGTTCATCTGCATTTGCATTCCTCTCTCGAAAGAGGGCTGCAGTGTAGACATTCCCTAGTGTAGACGTTGCCTAACTCAACCAACTATAGACCAGTAGCACCTTAGAGACTAGCCACCCGAGCAGCTCGGATCACAGCCCACTTCTCCAGATGGCGAACGCTCGGGATCCCAGCTACGTGGTGTGTTAGTCTTAAGGTGCTACTAGCCTGTTGTTAGTTTTTCAGTTTTTCCGGTGACAGACTCACTCGCCTACCCTGACGCTTTTTAACAAACTATGTTACATTCAATGCAAAGTTTTCTCACCACATGCTCTCAACAGTTACTGACCAATCGTCTTAGGTCAGGACCTTGAGAGGCAGTGCATTGAGAGGCACACGTGGGGGGTATGTCTTGGGGTATTTGCCCCTTCCCCTGGGAGAAGCATTTCCAGCAGGCAGCAAGGTGACAGGCAGTCTGTGCAGAAGGAAACTCAGGATACAGAGCTGGGAGTGTGACATCCATGCTAATGAAATCAGAGTGTGTGTGGCTCATCTCCAGCAGTGGGGAGAAGGTGAGAGTCTCTGAATGGGAAATTCCCTACGGTCATGCGAGAACCACTCCAGGCGTTTATGTAGAATTCCAGCTCAGCCGGTCTAGAGAAACCCCTGGAGTTTTCCCATTCAGGGGCTCCCACCTTCTCGCCGCTGCTGGTGAGCCGCACCAGTCTGATGTCCCACTCCCAGCCCTGTATCTTTTCTTTCCTTTGCTTTTTTCTTTTGTTTTCTTAGTTGTGGCTCTCAAAGGCTTATGCCCAACGCCTCGGTAAATTCCTGAGTGCTCCAAGTGCCAACCTGCCCCTTGTTGTTTCTGCTTAAACAGACTAACACGGCTACCTCTCCGAAACCTCCTTGAGAGAAAATTCTAGGTGTGCTGGAATGCCACAAGCTGTTAGGAAATTATGTAAAAAAGTACAAAGCCACCGTTGCTATTGTAAAACTGTATCAGGAGGAGAAAGTAAAGAACTAGCAGCATGGAAATAAAACACAAACTGTGCGTTTCTGCCGGCAGAGGCTGCGGTCAGAAGTTCTTATAAACCTGTGTTAGTGTCCCTGTCGAGTGAGCCAGGCCCCATTTGGAAGCATCCATCATCGTGTGCTTTTCCTCAGGCTGGAACAGCGTCTGTCTGCAGCTCACTGATGCTCTGAGCCCGTGTTCCTCAACCTTTGTTAAAAAGTCCCCCCAGTGCCTACAGTTTTCAGATACACACATTTTTTTTCTACCATTGCAACATTTTTGTTTAAACAACTTAATCATCGCTAGGCGGGAGATGAAATGTTTGGGTGTGAAAAGTACAAAAATAATAAAGTGCTGTAAAACTTAACACAAAAATTCAGTTTTCTCCACATTTCAGTTGTGTTGATGCACCCCTGAATAATAAAGTGCTGTAAAACTTAACACAAAAATTCAGTTTTCTCCACATTTCAGTTGTGTTGATGCACCCCTGAGACGTCTCTCTAGCACCCCGAGGGTGCTCATACCCCTGGTTGAGAACCACTGCTCTGACCCACGCTCGGTGACGCACCCCCCAGACGTCTCTCTAGCACCCCGACGGTGCTCATACCACTGGTTGAGAAACACTGCTCTGACCCACGCTCGGTGACGCCCCCCCCCACGTCTCTCTAGCACCCCGAGGGTGCCCGTACCCCTGGTTGAGAACCACTGCTCTGACCCACGCTCAGTGACGCCCCCCCCCACGTCTCTCTAGCACCCCGAGGGTGCCCGTACCCCTGGTTGAGAACCACTGCTCTGACCCACGCTCAGTGACGCCCCCCCCCACGTCTCTCTAGCACCCCGAGGGTGCCCGTACCCCTGGTTGAGAACCACTGCTCTGACCCACGCTCAGTGACGCCCCCCCCCACGTCTCTCTAGCACCCCGAGGGTGCCCGTACCCCTGGTTGAGAACCACTGCTCTGACCCACGCTCAGTGACGCCCCCCCCCACGTCTCTCTAGCACCCCGAGGGTGCCCGTACCCCTGGTTGAGAACCACTGCTCTGACCCACGCTCAGTGACGCCCCCCCCCACGTCTCTCTAGCACCCCGAGGGTGCCCGTACCCCTGGTTGAGAACCACTGCTCTGACCCACGCTCAGTGACGCCCCCCCCCACGTCTCTCTAGCACCCCGAGGGTGCCCGTACCCCTGGTTGAGAACCACTGCTCTGACCCACGCTCAGTGACGCCCCCCCCCACGTCTCTCTAGCACCCCGAGGGTGCCCGTACCCCTGGTTGAGGACCACGGCTCTGACCCACGCTCGCTGACGTGGTGGTAAAATGGCTGGCTCCTGTCTGAGGAGCTGCACGCTGGCAGGCCCTGCCTCTGGCTGTTGTGGAGCAGAGGAGGACGTGGCAGCCTGCGAGAGCCCCTTTCCTGTTCTGCACACACTAGCTGCTTCTCTCACTCCAGGTCTCCATGTTTCTCTGTCCCTGCAGCTCAAACCAGGAGATTCAGACGTACGCCATTGCCCTGATCAACGCCCTCTTCCTGAAGGCGCCTGAGGACAAGAGACAGGTCAGTCGCCTCCTCTCCGTAGCCAAAGCCCTGGACTGATGAATGGCGGACGGCTCGTGTGGCATTGCAGCAGCTGAGGAGCGGGTCCCTCTGTCTAGGCAGAATGGGGCCCAGCTCTAGCCAAGTGCTTCCTGTCTCGCTGGGACTCTTGGGCAGTGGGTCAGCGGGGGGATGCAGCAATCCCCCGGGGATGCTGACTGGAGAAAGGCTGTGGGGGTGCCCAGGGACGCCCAATGGGGGGGGGTGCCCAGGGATGCCCAGCAGGACAATGGCATGTTGCCAGAGGAGAAGCATAAAGCGTTGGGTGAGAGCACGGACAAGTCCTGCGGGAATGCCAGATGGGAGTGCAGCACGGGGGGAGGCTAGGAGCCCCGTGGGACTGTCTCACACACACACACGTGCACCCAATCTCGGCCCAGGACGTGCAGGAGAGAAGGAAGAGATCCGCCCTGCTGGAGGGGCTCCCCAGAGATCTTAGCTAGGGGTGGGGTGCGCATGCAGCTGTCATGAAGCTTTGCTCTGTTAACCCTTTCTCCTCCAGTGCCCTTTGCTCTGGGCTCTGAGCTAACTCCTCTGTCTGCTTCTCTTTGTGCCTTCTGCGTTCTGCCAGCAGGACAAGCTCCTTAACCCGCTAGACCTGCCTGTCACTGTAAGTAATTCCAGCTGCTGAGCTGTAGGCACCTAGGTCACTAGCCTCAAGCTCTGCCAGAGGGAGTGGGGCGGGACCAGAGAGAGGGACTTGAGTGTAGCTGGCACAGAGTATCCACACCAGGCATGTTTTCCCTGGGGAGACGTTTAAAACCATTTCAGTAAAAAGCCAGGCCACCCTAGCTGGGTCTGTACTACAGCTCTGATTGGCTTTCAGTTAGGCTAGAAAACTTGCCATATAGACAAGAGCTGAAGATAGCAGCGGTGCTCCTGAGAAGGGAACGTTCACCGTACCTAGTGCTATGCTCTCAGATTGCTGTGTATCAGGCCTGCTCCGGGGCCATCCCTTCAGTAATGGGGCTCTCAGAATACACTTCAGCCACCAGCCTCTGCCTCAGAATTGTTGCTTGTGTCTCATGGCCCATGCACTTTGGCATATGATTTAGTGTCTTCCGTGGGGAACATTCTCGAAGGCTCCGAAGTAACCAATGAACTGAAAATGCAGCTGCCTTTGAGCTAGGGATGTAAGCGAACAGTCAAGTGCTCGGCTACCCGCTTTCCTCCAGCCGACAATCACCTTTTGGGGTGCACTTTTATTCACAGGTACAAGCGCGTTGCATCAATCCTGGCGTGTCAGGTTGCCACTCTGGTAGCTAGTTACCACCCCTTGCCTCACAGAAGGGGGGCTTACTTGCCATCCATCATGCTGTCAACTTCCACCCAGTCCTGAACCTGTTAGATGTGGGGAGGTGTGTTGGTACCAAGATGTTTCTTAACGAGGTCTGTTACGGCCCCTCTGGAATGTGTTTCACTGTCTGTGCCTGGCACTTCTTGGCATTCTTTATGCTCGACCCTGCTTCTCCTAGTTCTCTTTAGCCCAGCCTCTTTCCTGCCTGCAGTTTCACTGAGCCAAAGCCTTGCTCACTGGGTTTCAGGCCTGCTGATTTTATGTTGCAGACCCTCAACTTACTACAAGGCAGCGTCTGTGCTCACACTTCTGCCTACTGTGCTAATCAGGATCCTGTCGCTGTCTCCTTGTCTGTCCAACCATTTACTTGCTTTACCGACCATTCTTGTCTCCTCATATGCATAGCCTAGAAGCTCTTTGGGGCAGGGACTCCCTTTATTCTGTGTTTGTGTGGCACAAATCTCTAGGGGGGTAGGGAACCTTTTTTGGGTCGGGGCCACTGACCCACAGAACAATCAGTCGAGGGCCACACAAGTGAGAAGGAAAAGCCTGCACAGATGTGGCTCCCAACTGAGAAGCAAGGGGGGGAAGAGAGACACTCCGCTCACAGCCCTGCGCTCCTGCCCCATGAGCGGGGACGCTGTGACTCAGGGCTGACAGGGCTGGAACTCACAGATTTTGTGAGGGGGCCCTAGGCTGTGGAATGGGGCCAAAAAGTGTGCAGGAGAGGCTGCCAGGGAGTAGGCCGGGTGGGAGGGTCTGGGGATGGTTCTGGCACAGTTCCCAGGGAGGGCACAGATGGCTCCATTCCTTCTGCACCTGCAGGCATCCCTCCGCCGCTTCTATTGGCCGTGATTCCTGATCAGTGAGAGGGATGGGGGGGAGCCTGCAGGCAACTGCAGGGACAGAGCTTCCCTGGGCTGCCATTTCCCCAGGGCCTCCCCCCACACCAGGCAGAGCCATGGCCCGAAAGCAGCCAGCGACTTGCTTAGATCCGGCCTGCTGCGGGGTGTGGAGGGGAGCCCTGAGCCTCATGGGCGGGATGTGGCCCGTAGGCTGCGGGTTCCCCTCCTGCTCTAGGGTGCTAGAATAGAAATGATCAGAAGAGCGGCGCTGACTCGGAGCAGCGAACTCGCTTTCGAGCCACTTCCTGCAGCAGCCCGAACGCTGATTCATTTTGACTGTAGTTCGCGTGTGAGCCCTGCTGAGCTCGCAGCTCGCGGTGTTTGGCGGCCGGCCCGTGTCACTTGGCTCTTCCCCGGGTTTCCTGTCTCCCGCAGTATAGAACCCGAAGAGTGAAAACAAGGTGTGACGGTGTCAGGGAGTCTCCGGGCCCTGCACCCCCCTCCACAGCCAGACGGGACTCTCAGGCGGCAGACAGAAGAGAAGGTTTATTGGTTCACAAGGACACAGCACAGCACAGCTTGGCTCCCCTCTCCCCCAGCCAGCCGAAAACTAATCCCCACTCCCAGCCCCCAGGCAGCCCCGCCCGTGCATTGTCCTGCTGCCAGGCCCAAGGTCGCCTGGTCCTCAGGAGAGAGAGACTGAACATACTTCCCCAGTGAGTCATGCCCAGGCTCCCCTCCTCATGCAGGTAGTGCTGCAGTGCCCAGGGAAACTGAGGCGCGCACACAGACTTACTCCGGAACTGCACAGGACAGCAGAATCCCATGAAGCGCAACAAAGCAACCAGAGTGAATCCAAACCAGAGGGAACACAGTGACTACAGGTGCCAGCACGGTGCCCACTACATCACACAAGGGGAACGGCAGCTTTTTCCATGCTTGCTGTGTGGGGCGGCGTTGGCAAGGGGAGATGGGGCAGTGCAAGGGAGATCAGGAGGGGTAATCCACATTCCAGTCTTCTTCTGGGCTTGCCCATCCTGTGTTCACCAATGCTCACAATGTGCAGGGCTCTGAAAAGGACTGTTCTGGTCAGTCCATTCCAGCTGGCAAGTGGCTTGATTCTCTGCCTCCTTTTGTCATCGGCCCATCCAAAGGCTTGCCCCAAAAGCAAATTGCTGAAAAGCTCCCACCGTTATGTTAGCACTGGCATAGCTCCGCCTGCTTCTGGAAACAGGCTGCTGGTTTTAATGAGCATATCGCCTGGAGAGCGGGCAGGCCAGGCGTATGTGCGTGGCGTCTGGCTGCAGCAGACTCGGGTCTGTCGGTAGGAGGCGGCTGTTCAAGAGAGGTGACACTTAAGCACGTGTCACTTCCTGATGTCTTTGCGAAGAGTTCAGAATTGCCTTCCCTGCTCAGGCGCGGGCGGGCCAAGGGTGCCACTGGGAAATGACATGTGGCATGAAACTTATTTCCTTTCCCTTGGTGTGACTCAAAGCCCGCTCAATGGGTTGTCCACCCACGGCCCCTAAGCTCTCCTGTGGCGGAGACAAGGGCCGTGCGACTGGCCTTTGTGTCAGCACAGCTGGGCTGATTGCCGACACACATCCCTGCCTGGACAGCGAGCAGCTCCCCAGTTCCCAAGCAGCTGCAGATGGGCTTGGCCACCAGCACAAGCAACTCTCCCTGCTGCCATAGCCACCTAGGGACATGGAGGGCCACGTCGTGCCCTGGCGATATGCTAGTGCTAAAGGGCCATGGAGGGATAATGAATTGAGCCCTTAGGTCTCAGGGTGACGTGGATGGCCAGAGGCCTTCTCCCTCCTGATTGTCTGTAATGAGTTATCTGAGCTCCGTGGTAGGGGCTGTCACTGGGCTGTCAGTCACCTGCAAGAGGCGGAGTCTGTTATTCTCTCATGTCTCTTTTCTCTCTGAACCCCCAACAGGAAATGGCTAATGCGTTTGCCCAGAAGCACCTGAGGTCTATAATCCTGAATGTGAGTATGTGACAGGTGGCAGGGAGCTGCATAGCCCTTCCTACCTGAGACCTCCCTTATGCTGAGTTTAACCCTTGCTGCCTAAGGGCACCTCCAAGAGAGTGACTCTGTGCAGAGTGAAATTGCAGCCATTTGTCCAAGAGAGGGAAGAGAGTTGGCAGCATGTTTCCTTCTGGCACTAGAGCAGGTGCCTTCGGGTGTTGGATCTTCACAAGCACAGGGGTACGGGCTGCCTGACGTGTACCTGCCGCAAACAGCACTTCGGAGCTTGTGTCTTACTCTGTTCACTGTTGCCCCCACCCTTGATATTGCAGCATGTGATCAGAGGAAACCGCCCAATCAAAACCGAAATGGCGCATCAGCTGTACGTGCTGCAGGTATGATGACCAAGATGGATCCCAACGATCAGGTCATTGTTAGGGCTGGCAGTGAGTGTCCTCCAGAAGCCCCACAGAACACTAGAACTAGAAGGGACCTGGAGAGGTTGAGTCAAGTCCCCTGCCCTCCCGGCAGGACCCAGCTCCATTTAGATCATCCCTGAAACATGTCTGTCGAGCCTGCTCTTAAGTATCTCCAGGGATGGGGATTCCACAACCTCCCTGGGCAACTCATCCCAGTGTTTAACCACCCGGACAGGCAGGAACTTTTTCCTAATGTCCAACCTCAACCTCCCCTGCTGCAGTCTCAGCCCATTGCTTCTTGTCCTGTCCTCAGAGGCCAGGGGAACAATTTTTCTCCCTCTTCCCTTTAAGATATTTGAAAACGGCTCTCATGTCCCCTCTCTGTCTTCTCCTTTCCAAACTAAACAAACCCAGTTCTTTCAGCCTCCCCTCACAGCTCATGTTCTCTAGACCGTTCATCATTCTCGTTGCTCTTCTCTGGACTTTCTCCAGTTTCTCCACATCTTTCTTGAAAAGCAGTGCCCAGAACTGGACACAATACTCCAGCTGAGGCCTAACCAGCGCAGAGCAGAGCGGAAGAATGACTTCTCGTGTCTTGCTCACAACACTCCTATTAATGCAGCCCAGAATCATGTTTGCTTTTGTAATTGTACCCAGCCCGTTCACCCCAGGCTCAGTGGGCTGGGAACACTTAAAAGGGGCAGGAGGTGCTGGAAGAGGGGAACTGATTCATGACTGCCATTATTAGCTCCACCACAGCTGCAGGGGGGGTTGGAAGCTGGAGAACCCAGTGGGTGGGTCTGTAAAAAGAGCCGTCTCAGTTCCTGGCACTTAGTCCATAACATGAGCTCTGGAGAGAGGCAGGACTGCCTGGTGATGTGGAGAAATCCTGATGGCGTGACCGCTGACGTGCTAAGATCTCCTTGCCTTCTGGTCCTCAGGCACAGAGAGACGTCATATTCGAGCTGAGACGAATCGCCTTTGATGCTGAGTCTGATGGCAACACTATGCCGGGGAGCGGGACAGAGAAGCGCAAAGCCATGTACACCAAGGACTACAAGATGCTGGGATTCACTGTAGGCACCCTGAGGGACTGCTGAGGCCACAGTGCACTAGAGGCAGCTTAAGCGTTCCCGGTTGGGGAGGGTGGAATCTAGGACCTAGCATATCTCCTCAGCGAGGAACTCGGTAGAGGCAGGGTCCCTGTTCAAATCATTGTGAACTCACTGCCCAGTTAAAGCCAGTGATTAGGCCCAGATCTCTTGTGCATGGTGCACAAGGATCTTCTCGGAGAGCAGAGTTTCTTGCATGCAAGGCATGTCTGTCTCCCAAGGGGAGACCAATACAATCTCCAGAGACAGTTTGGCTAGGTGGCCATTCCAGTGTCCCCTGCATGCATTGCTTACCTCAGGCAGAGGGATTCTGGGAGAGTCACAGGGCCACTGCACAAACAGATGGGGGAGGGCTTCTCTCGGGGTTCCCTTGGATTAACGTGTTTGGGGTTTTCCTACGTTGTTCCCACAGAATCACATCAATCCAGCCATGGATTTTACCCAGACTCCCCCTGGGATGCTGGCTTTGGACAACATGCTCTACTTGGCCAAATTCCACCAGGACACCTATGTCAGGGTACGGAGAGGGGCCTCGCCTGCACACACCCTCACGGCGGGTCGCTCTGCGTCACGTGCTCACTGGCGCTCTCTTTCTCTCTAGATTGTCCTAGAGAACAGCAGTCGGGAAGACAAGCATGAGTGCCCGTTCGGACGCAGTGCCATCGAGCTCACCAAGATGCTGTGCGAAATCCTGCAAGTCGGAGAGCTCCGTAAGTGCCCCAGACCCAGGCCTGGGAACCTTTCTCCAGACGTGCTGGGAGGTGCTGCCCTGTAATGACCCACAGGGTCTACATGAGTCTGACAGCAGGCTCTGCTGTCTTGGGTGAGCTGGGCTCCTGGTGCTGGAGGACACGGGTAAAACTGCCTGCACTGGAGCTCAGTGCTGAGGCTATTGGGGCTTTCCGAGTGACGAGTGGACGCCACGAGAGTCTGGGCTACAGGGGCAGTTCTCAGCTCTTCTCTAGCTATGTAGCAGTATAACCCACACGCCTGCTGTCCGATGCTCGCTCCCGTCTAGTGCCACTGAGAGAATCATGGGTCTGCTACAGCCATAGCTGTGAGCCATACGGCTGTGCGCTCATGCAGAAGAGCATCACACCTGTAGCTCCAGAGGTCCAAGTTCGATCCTGCCTGCTGAGGACTGGGATCTGTTGGCGTTGTCCATGAAACCTCAGAATCTTCTTCTGAGTACGTCTGGGCCCATGTGTTCCCTGTGCAAGGGCATAGAGGAAGGAGAGACCACAACCCTCCCTTGGTTCCCCCTTCCCACCCGTGGCAGAGACAATGAACCAGATGAGTGTCTGACTTCCTAGTTTCTTGAGCTTCAGACTCACTTCAGATTCCTCTTCACCTCCCCATTGGCTGTAATTTGGACATGAATAAAAGAAAAGAGCGAGGAAACTGCTTCAAAGCTCCTTGCACGCCCCTGGCCAGCACGGGGAGGCACTTCATAGCGCTGCAGGGTGTAAGTCCTGTCCAGGGTGCCACGATCTCGTGCTCTTAGCTGATGAGCACAGCGGTGCCACGTCTGCCTGGGGGAAGGGCACATCCCCAGCGCGTGCTCGTTCTGCTCTTCTTTCTCATCCAGCATGCAAATGTGAAGAGCCATGAGGCTGAGGTCACCTCTCTGAGGGTACTCTGAGGAGTACCGGTAGTTCGAATTGGAGAGCCTAATTCGAACTACCTACTCCGTGCCGCGTGGAGCCACGTGGAGCCGCGTGGAGCCGCGGGCACGGAGTTCGCACTAAGGGGGATTTAAAAATGGCGGCGCCCGGCAAGATGCAAATGAAGCCCGAGATATTTAAATCCCGGGCTTCATTTGCAACTTCGAATGCCTCCATTAGCCACCCTGGTTCGAACTAGGCTGGAAGTGTAGACAGACCCTGAGTGGTGCGCGAGTGCTGCATCCAGTCCTGGGGACGAGAGTCCACCAAGCTGGAGCTGAGGAGACTTTCCACAGTTGCTCCAGTAACCAGGCACCATACCCCTGGTTTCCATTGTGGGGGAGAGAGGCATCCAAAAGGGGGCTGGTATCAGCCCCAAGATCTCGCAGATGAGTCAAAGCACCAGCCGTGCTGCCTGACGCTCTAGCACCCATCCCAGAACAGAGACACTGGCGCTCCCCAGCACTGCTCTGCAGCACGTCCAGCCTGCTCCTTCCCCCTCCCTCTGGTGGGGAACTCGCTCCGATCAGATCCAGGGCTGCAGAGCCCACTTGTCACCAGGAAGCCACCCACCCCGTCCAAGTGGCATCATGGAGATTAGCTGGCCAAAGGTTCACATCTCGAGAGCAGACCCGATTCTCCAGGGGCTGCCTGTCACCTTCCTCTGCCCTACAGCAGATTTGCAGGGGTGGCGAGAGCCATAATCGAGGCCATCCCAGAGTTGACCCTGAGGAGCCACATCACCTGCTTCTCTTAGGTGTGGTCAGGGGTGAAACCAACACATGAGTGCTGGGCATGCCCCGTCTAATTCTTTTCCTTGCCCCACCCCCTCCTTCGGTGGCCATCTCCTCACGCGAACCTGTTACCAGAAGTGGCCCCATTGCTTCATCGAGCTTCCACAGGAGGGCCGGGGAAAAGGCTTCTACTGCCAGTGTGTCCTTATTCCGAAGAACCTGCGCCTGCTGCAGAGCAGGCTGCACACCTCCATTTGCCACGTCCAGTTCAGGGTGGTAGCACCTCCATCGTCCCATCTCTTCAGGCTCTGGACTGGCCTGTGCCGCTCGACGTGTAGGGCGTGTGCTTCCTCGCAGTGATCCACTGGGCCGGTACAGTGACACCCGATCACTGCAGATACCAATATCGTCATTATGGCACCAAGAGGCTTTCCCAAAGTATCTTGCCGTGGTGATGGCACACCTGAGAGGGTGTCTGTGTCTAGATAACGGGCTAATCGGGGCAGGTCCTGGAGGTCATGCATTCCAGCCATTCTTTACTGAAATACTCAATACGCACTCACCACTCCTAAATGCTTATCAGTCTTATACTTCTGTGATTCCAACATACATTTAGTGCATATGAAATAGCATATGAATTGACCACAACATCAAATAACACAATAATTGGTGTTACAACTACTTGGCTACCATCGTGTGTTAGGGTCAGATGTGTATATTACACACACCATCATGCTGCTCCAGTTATAACAAGCTTAGGCCATGTCTTCACTCTGGGGAAGATCCATGTTTCCGAAGTTCAATTTAGCAGGTCTAGTAAAGACATGCTAAATTGAACTCCGAGGGCACCTCCTTTGGTGGCCAGTGCCCCTGCCCCTGTGAAGAGTAAGGGAAGCCAACAGGAGCGTTTGTTCCCACTGGCCTCCCGCTGTGGGGAGTTGCACATCTTAATTCAATCTCCCCCTTGAGTGTAGACCTGGCCTTAGTTCTTCTCACAAGCACCAGGATCTGCCCTAGCTCCTTAGACACTCACCTAGTTTCCTTCTCTACCCCTGAAGCCAACGAGGGCCGGAATGACTACCACCCCATGTTCTTCACCCATGACCGAGCATTCGAGGAGCTCTTTGCTATCTGCATCCAGCTGCTGAACAAGACCTGGAAGGAGATGAGAGCAACGGCGGAGGATTTCAACAAGGTCAGGATGATGGGAATCGGCCTTGGGAAGGGCTCTGTACGGGACTGGGAAAGTGCATGGGCTCGTTACTCAGCGAGGTGCGGGCCAGTGGGTGCTTGTAGGAGTCTGATTGCAGAGAAGGGGGTGATTGGAAGTGGCCCTGTGACCTCTGCTTTCCCTGCCCTGATGCGTCAAACCCCCCATCGGAAGTGCCCCCGACCGCTCCCTCTGTGTCTGTCCCTTGCAGCCTCTGGCCGAGTTCAGCCCCGGATCCCAGCTCCCATGGGTGGCAGGAATAGAATCTGCCTACTCGGAGTGATTGCTCCTGTCCATTCCCATAGGCGTGTGTGTGCTGCATCGGTCCCCTTGGGTAGTCTGGGGGCCCTCTGGAGTGCTGCCCTCATGGCAGGTTGGATAGGACACTGCTGACCTCAGGACGGTTGTTGCAATGATGCCAGTCTCTGCTTTGCTGGCTTCCTTACCCTAGCTGGTTTAAATAGCTCTTGCGGTATGAGCTGTGTTGCAGGGGGCCCACCTCCAGTGTTCCCTGTAAGCTGAGCGCTTGTGCGGCTGCTCAGGAGAGATCCGGGCACCGCCCAGCTGATTAGCAGAGCGCCCCCAGCTAGGATTGGGTTTCTGCTGCTGGTGCGCCTCAGTGCACATAACGTTATTCCACACTTGGATGAAAAAGGTGAGAGGGAATATTGGTTCCTGCCCTTGTGAGTTCACCTGACCAGGGCGTGCCTGGGCTCAGGGCTTTAAGTCCTGTGAGAGCCGTGGAAAACCTGTGCTGCAAGTGCTGTGGGGAGAGCCATCACCCCGAGAGAGCTCTAGGCCTACGACAAGGAAGGAAGGAGACTGCCCAGCTGGCACCAGGACTGGCAGTGGTGACAGCAGGCGCTGGCTTCCATGTGGAGCGCCTCACGTCCCAAGAGACAGCCCTGCCGCCGGCACAGCTCCCCCGCTCACGAGGCCGGGTTGAGCACGCGGCACTGCTCACAGTCCCTGGGCCACCAGGGAGAGAAGGCAGACAGGGATCAGTCCCCCACCAGGGCGCCGCACGGCGATACTTGTGGGGCACACTCGACATAGGGGCACCCCCAGAGTGGCCCTGAGCTCCCAGCACTGTCGACTCCAGCACCGCTGTCCCCTCCAGTGCTCTCAGGTTCCCCTCCAGGACACTGAGCTTCCATTTACACCTGATACCTTTGAGGCCGCGCAGGACCCAGCAGCCCTGTCTGTACAGTCCCTGGCGGCGGGACACCAGCACCGGCCCCCGAGGCCTGCCGGCAACAACGGCCCCAGCACCGGCCCCCGAGGCCTGCCGGCAACAACGGCCCCAGCACCGGCCCCCGAGGCCTGCCGGCAACAACGGCCCCAGCACCGGCCCCCGAGGCCTGCCGGCAACAACGGCCCCAGCACCGGCCCCCGAGGCCTGCCGGCAACAACGGCCCCAGCACCGGCCCCCGAGGCCTGCCGGCAACAACGGCCCCAGCACCGGCCCCCGAGGCCTGCCGGCAACAACGGCCCCAGCACCGGCCCCCGAGGCCTGCCGGCAACAACGGCCCCAGCACCGGCCCCCGAGGCCTGCCGGCAACAACGGCCCCAGCACCGGCCCCCGAGGCCTGCCGGCAACAACGGCCCCAGCACCGGCCCCCGAGGCCTGCCGGCAACAACGGCCCCAGCACCGGCCCCCGAGGCCTGCCGGCAACAACGGCCCCAGCACCGGCCCCCGAGGCCTGCCGGCAACAACGGCCCCAGCACCGGCCCCCGAGGCCTGCCGGCAACAACGGCCCCAGCACCGACCCACGAGGCCTGCCGGCAACAACGGCCCCAGCACCGGCCCACGAGGTTGCACCACCTCACCAGAGCCTATCAGGACCTTCTTTAGCGGGTGGCCCAAAACGTACCTCTCCAGGCACAGGACTGTCCTAATGGTGGACATTCTTGCCTCAGAGGGTCCTTCCAAGGAGGCCTTGCCACCCTCAAAGACCATACAAACCACCACAAAGGTGCTCTGGCAGCCCCAGGTCTCCAGCCAGACCACCACAGCCAGGGGAGCTAAAGGGGGTATTTTGTACCCTAGATAGGTTATACGCAGTTTTTCACACACCTGCAAGCCTGGGACGTTAGTGGTCAATGCATCTAACTGCAAGGAGCAGCAGGACCAGCCTGGGCCTGCTCCTAAGTCAGAGGATGCAAGAAAGCTGCACTTTTTGGGACATAACGTGTGTTCCGTGTAGCTAACGAGCAGGCAGTGCTCAGCCACAGCCCCTTCAAGCCCTGGGAATGTGAGCCAAAATCCGGAGCTGCTCCCTCTTGCCCCCAGTTTTCAGCGCTCAGTGAGGAGGACAAAGTACTATGCAGAATCTCTCTCCAAGCTGCTTTGGACTTAGCTGACTGCGTGGCCTGTCCCACGGCCACAGAGATCACCGGGAGACGCAGTCCCTGGTTGCAGGTGTCAGGTTTATCCCCAGAGCTCAAGAACGCCGTCCGGGATCTGCCCATTCGCCATGCGGGGCTGTCCACAGAGATCAGTGATTCCGGCTTGCAAAGCCGAAAAGATTTGCCAGCAACATTAAAATCCCTGGGGATCCGCACCCCCAGGAAGCCCTTCCAGCCACAGCCCCCTCCCACTTCTGTTCCAGACCCCAGAGACAGGACTCCAATAGAAGTGGCAGGAATACTCAGAGGTGCCTCCTCCAAACAGCCCCTAGGGCCAAAGCTTAACTTTGGAAGGTGCACCTGAGGACGGAGCTCCAGAACCCAGTCTGGACCCTTACCCTCCCTTTGTGAGCTGTCTGCCGTGCCTGGGCCCAGCCTGCCTCAGACCGCTGGGTTCCGAGCATGGTAGGGGTGGGATACGCCGTCCAGTTCTGTTCTCTGCTGCCCTCCCGTCCCTCGTAAGGGACCCTGCTCATGAGCAACTCCTGCAGGAGGTGCAATCGCTCCTCACTGTGGAGGTGAGAGAGGAGATCGCTCAGGAGTTCGCGAGCAGGGGACTTTACTCCCATATCTCCTGATCTGGGAGACCTCAGTGCATTCCTCAAGAAAACACACGTCTGCATGGTCTCCTAACCTCCACCATTCCTGCCCTGGATCCAGGGCCTGGCACACTGCCCTGGATGTGGGAGACATGTAGTCCCAGGTTTCCCTGTTCCCAGCCCACAAATGGTTCCTACGCTGTGTGGTCAGCGGCCAGCGCAGTCCGTTCAGGATGCACCCGCTGGGGCTGTCAGCGTGGCAGTGATGTACTATTTGGTCCTAGCAGAGAGGGACTGCCCCTCAGCTTGCCACAGTCCCCCTGGTTTTGGACTGCTCGCTGGACCTCAGGCAGCAAGAGCTGGCAACATCCTCTGTAAGGTGCCTGGCTGCCATCTCGGCCTTACGCCCAGGGACACAGGGTAGATTGGTATTTGCAGATCCCTTGATTGCACAATTCCTTAAGGGACTCGACAGACTCTGCTCCCCAGTGGGCCTGCGCCTCGTTCTGCCCAGGCTCACTGCCCCTCCCTCTGAGCCCTTGGCCACCTGCCCTCCACCACGTTTGTCTTGGGAGGTGGTGACAGTAACATTGTCCAGAAGGAGCCTCCCTGCAGCATCTCTTATAAGGAGATGGGGCAGCTACACTCTCACTGCAGGGTGCTGGGTGTGCGAGGTGGGGGAGGCTCTTCCCCTAAGTGCCAGCCTGGCCCTGTCTGCACTCTGCCCCCACAACGCCCGCGGAGTGTTGCTACCCCAAGTGCCTGCCCTCTCCAGGCCAGGGAGGCTGGGGCCGGGCACCGTCCTTCCTTCCTGTGTTCCGGGGCCGGGCCATGTGCCGTTCCACCGCTCCAAGGGGCGGGGCAGGGAGCAGCTTGGCTCCTGTGGGGGCGGGGCCTGGGAAGAAGGGGCAAGGCTGGGGGTGGAACTGGGGCTGGTCTCCCCCAGCTCTGCCTTCACCCACCGCTCATGCCCACCTGGCATTTCTCCCCTAGGGGGTCGCCCAGTTTCATGTGAACCGGGCGGATTCTTGCCTGTTCTTCCTGAAGCTGCAGGCCAGTAGCAGAGTGACTGCTCCATTCCCTGGACGTCAGCTGGGTCCCAGCTTTCTACATTGAGTGCAGTTGCCTAGAGGATAAGGGCTCCCCATTTCACCCAGTGCATGTCGCTGTGGATCATGGCCTGCCTCAGGACATGCTGTGACCGGGTGCAAGTCCCACGCCCCCACTGGCAGCGCATTCTACAAGAGCGCAGGCTTCATCCGCAGCCTTCCTCATGCACGCCCTGGTCCAGGGGGTGTGCCAGGTGGCAACGAGGGGCTCCATGCACACCCCACGTTTCACTGCGCCACCACCCAGGGAAGCGAACTCTGCCCCTCCTCCCAGGGAACTTCCTGCGCGTCACCTACAGGAATGGACATGAGCAGTCACTGGGAGAAAAGCTGTTCCCTGTCTCTCACCATGGTTGTTCTTACGATGTGCTGCTCCCGTCCATTCGGAACCCCACCGGCCTCTGCCCCGTCGGAGCATTCCAGCCAGAGGGAACTGGGCAGGCGGCGAGTCGACAGCGTCCCATGGACGCTGCTGTGAAGGCAGCACTGCATGGGGCTGCAGAGCCGGCCTGACGGTACCACTCAGGTAGAGCCCTCCCAGCAACTGTGCATGTGGCGCCCGCGCACACCTGCTGGACTGGTGATGAGCAGAGCACCCTGAAGAACGAGAGGCAAGGAGGCAGGTAACTGTTTCGGTCCCCGTCCCCTTAGGTGATGCAGGTCGTACGTGAGCAGATCACCCGAGCCCTGCCCTCCAAACCCAACTCACTAGACCAGTTCAAGAGCAAGCTGCGCAGCCTGAGCTACTCGGAGATCTTGCGGCTGCGCCAGTCGGAGAGGATGAGCCAAGATGACTTCCAGTCACCGCCCATTGTGTAAGTGCCTGACGGGGCAGCTCCCTTCCCCACAGACGTGTTAGCCCCCCTTGCATTGAACTGCTGGCTGCTCCCCCTAGGTGCCTGTTCACTCACTTGTCTTTGATCTCCAGGGAGCTGAGAGAGAAAATCCAGCCTGAGATCCTGGAGCTGATCAAACAGCAGCGTCTGAACCGGCTCTGCGAGGGAAGCAGCTTCCGGAAAATTGGGAATCGCAGGAGACAAGGTGGGGTCTCCTGCAGCTCCCCAGCCTGGGGAAGGGGATGGATACCCAGGGTTGCTACACCAGCCGAGAGGCTGGGACGGGTGCATTCCGACTGGACACGGCAATGCTTGTGCCAGCCAGCAGATGGCACTGTGCGGCGACTGAGCTAGTGGGGCTCAGGAGCAGTGGTCCCCACCGGGGCGCTCGTGCACCCGCCAAAAGACCAGGGCCGGCCCGAGCCATCCCTGTGGGCACGTGCGCGCCCCGCCCCGTGGCGCCCAGCAGGGGACCCCGGCTGCAGAGGGCTGCCCGGCGCTCAGGCCGTGCTCTGTGTTGTGTGTTCCAGAGAGGTTCTGGTACTGTCGTCTGGCTCTCAACCACAAGGTCCTGCACTACGGAGACCTGGACGACAATGCCCAGGGCGAAGTGACCTTCGAGTCTCTGCAGGAGAAGAGTAGGTCGGGGCTATCGCTCTGCCACTGCAGACCGTCCCGTCTCAGGCGGGGGGAGGGTCTAACGCAGGGCTGCACGCGGCCTCCACGCCACCGGACCCAGCTCCATCCGTCCCCTCTCAGGCGGGGGGAGGGTCTAACGCAGGGCTGCACGCGGCCTCCACGCCACCGGACCCAGCTCCATCCTCCCCTCTCAGGCGGGGGGAGGGGCCTATGGACGGGTG